AAGAGTGAGGACAAGTGACCATAGGAAAATGGGGCCGATCTTGTTCTCACTCTTTCCGGATTTTTTCCCTCTCCGCCCGCTCACATAATCTGGCAACATTTCCCAATTGTAGCTTGCCCGCGATTACAATACAATCTCCGTTCTCCATTCGCAATTGCGAAATCGTGGCTCGCGATCCACTCGCGATTATGCATCGCCGTTTCATGGCTCTATGTAGCACAAGGTGTTTCTGCGGTGATTTATCGCTCCAAATCGAGTCCAACAATAACGGTCGGAAGAGACCGGCGCGATTCGCGTTCGGATCATACGTTCGCGTGCTCGTTCATTGCTTTTCAGACGGATTCTGACAATAGCACTTAACAATCAACCGAGATTCGTTCGGTCTCGCGGCGCTGTCAATTGTAGCAATTTTCTTGGCAGAGCAAGCGAGGCGTGAATTCAAGGACAAAGTCGCCGGGATGTCATTCTCGTATTGCAGATCCCGCACGAATGTTAGAGAACGGTTTTACATAACATACCTAGATAGCACAAGAGTTGCACAAAGAGCTAAAATCACTTTGAGCACATTCGAGTATAAATGTGAAATGTACGAAACGTTGCAGATATTCCAAAATGTTGTTTTTAATACTGACGGCGAGTCTCCTCGCCGTGACTCGCGCCGGATGTCCCATGAGACCAACGGTGGAACAAACTTCAGCGAGCAGGACAGTGGGTGACGGTGGTTACAGAATTCTTATCAGCGGGCAAACAAACGGATACATTCCGAATGCAATTCATACGATTAGCTTGCAAGGTATACGCTTAAAGGGTTTCAGTGCGACCTAAAAGAAATTAGTACAATAGAAACAAGAAGGCGGAGAACTGTAAAATTCTGTTGCGGCATGATCGATGGGACATTTTAGGATCGCAGACGCACGAAAGGCTTCAACAATTTACGCGCTTCACGCTCACGGTGCATTCGCAGCACGCGCCGAATAGTCCTTCGGCTCGCGTCGGTTACTTCCAGCTGTTCCCGGATTCCTTGACTACCTTTAACGAGGACTGCATTAACACGGTCTCCGAAGTGACCGATTACCCGAAGTCTGAGGTAGGAATACAGGCAGATACGCGTGGCTCTATTAAAAAATATCATATAGAGGAAAGTCCCCTATTATGAGAAAGATCCTCTATTAATCTCGTCTTTGCTTCTCTGCTTGATGACTCATTTTCTTGATGGTAGATCCAGGTGATGTGGCGGGCGCCACAGGCCGGCTCCGGATGCATCATTTTCACCGCGATGATCTTAGAGAACAATGTACGCTGGTACGCGGAAGACGGTGCCCTTACCAAGACCCTTTGCGAAACGGCAAGCACGGAAACGGAAGTCGGCGGTGCGAACGAGACCCGGTGTTGCGCTTGCGACGAAGCGAAGTACTCGGTGAGCTAGGAAATCTTCCGAAAAAGTTCGGCAGGTTGAGATAAAAGAGTTGAATGCTTCTAAAATTCGTAGACGGCACAATTTTCATTCTTGCTTCATCTTACGTGCTTTTTACCGAAGCTGCGACGGCCGACGAACAAGCTGCAGGTCGCCAATCGGTTGAAGCGTCTCGTCGAACATTGTTTCAGCTAACTATGGAGGGTATCTGGTCGAACAGAACACACCCGAAGGACTTCCCGTTTTCCGCCTGGTTGACCCATTTCAGCGACGTCATCGGTGCGTCGCACGAGCCGAATTTTTCCTTCTGGGGCAGAGATCACGTCTCGACGGACGGTTTTCGACAACTGGCCGAGTGGGGTTCCGCGACGGGCGTGGAGGCGGAATTAAGAGAGAGAGCCAGACAGCTTAGAACGCTCATCAAAGCCGCCGGTCTTTGGTATCCCAATGTTAATTCGAATACGACGACGAGCTTCAGGTAAACGCCGTTCGTTTCCAAAATATCAATTCGACGAAACGTCAAGGTCCTTTGACGTCGCTAACTGACGACGCAAGCCTCTCGATAGTCAAAAAATCGACTGTACAAAAGATGCGCGTATCGCAAGTTTATATGTTTTCTCAATGCTAAGATATATTTGAATTAAAGCATTCATTTTCTAATATTCTCGTAACGTAACAAACCTCTTGCGATTATTTGCATACGTTAAATTCGATTTTAACGCTGTCCCAATTAGCAGTCGTTAATAATCGCTATTTTTTTTTGCTATCAGTTTTTTTTCACGATTTTTCAGGGTAGACCGAAAGCACCCACTTCTCTCGGTGGCATCGATGCTGGGTCCGTCCCCCGACTGGGTGGTGGGTGTGAGCAAATTGAATCTCTGTCAGAAGGACTGCACCTGGACGAAGAGTATGATAATCGATCTTTATCCCTGGGACGCCGGAACCGATAACGGTATCAGTTACATGTCGCCCAATTCCGAGACGAAGCCGCGCGAGAAGATGAAGCCGATAACGACGCTCTATCCGGAGGACCCGCGATCACCGTTCTATGATCCGTCCGGTAGACCCATGCATCCACTGGCCAGGCTGTACTTGAACCGGGAGAAAATCATCCCACGCGGATGCAGCGACGAGCTTCTGCAGCAGCAAGTAGTCGAGTTGGAAGTGGCCGAGAACACCGAGGATACGTCGAGACGTATGCAAATATTAATAGCCCATCTTTTTAAAGAGCGTTATAAGGAATACTTCTGTCTAGCTTCAGCACTCGTGGTATTTTAATGGCGTTGAGCGAGTTTACTCTCGATACGAGCGTAATTCAACCTTGTCTTGCTGTGAATTTTAAGCGGAGTGTCATACAACGGATTATTCGCCGTGGTCGTCGTGTTCCGTGACGTGCGGTAAAGGTTTAAGGATGCGCACGAGGTCGTACAGAATGCCGGAGAAAGCCGCTATGCTCGGTTGTAACAGGCAGCTGGTCTCGAAGGAGATGTGTGTCGCGTCCATTCCCGAATGCTCGTGAGTGCTTTCGCACTTTTTGTACGTCCTAATGAAGATTGAGAAACTGTCGCAGCTTCTCGCGAGAGAATCAAACTGAACATTATTATTTGACAACGTCAGTGTTTTTCTTCATCAGATCTGGCGTATAATCTTCCAATTAAATCTAATTCTGTGCATAATCGCAATCAGAGGTCGGTGTGTCGTTTCAGGGGCGAGGAGGAGAGCGACGACGACGTCGTGATTTCGTTGCAGAACGACCCGCTTTGCGAGACCACCGAGTGGAGCGAGTGGTCCGAGTGTTCCAACACGTGCGGGATCGGCTTGAAAATGCGGACGAGGAGATTCCGCGATCGCCGCGGTCGCAAGCGGTGCCCGCTCGTGTCGCTCGTCGAGAAGGAGAAGTGCATGGAGCCGCCGTGCCAGGCGGGAACGGAGGAGCTGCTCGATCCTGAGTGCAGGGTGCGGACTCCAATCGAAATCTACTTGGCACGGGACAGACGTGCGTTGTGACGATAATTTACAACATTTGACGACGATGATTTAAGGTGACGGACTGGTCCGACTGGTCGCCGTGCAGTGCTTCCTGCGGCAAAGGCGTGAAACTGAGGACCAGGCTGCTGATAGTCGACCCATCGCTGCAGGCGGAATGCTCCTCGCGCGTGGAATTGCTCCAGCAACGGCCGTGCCTCGTACAGTCGGACTGTACGTTCGACATGGCAACGGCGAAGGGTAAGGGGCATAAGAAGTTTTTATTTCGGAGGACCAAGTTTTTCCTTCAATTCAGACCAGTTGACAACCTTGCGGCATTCATTTGCATTTCTCGCAGTCGTGTGTATGGAGGAAGCGGAGCAGGGGCCGTGCAGGGGCTACTTCCAGAGGTGGGCTTTCAACCCGCGGAAATTGATGTGCGTGCCCTTCGCGTACGGCGGATGCCGCGGCAACCGGAATAACTTCCTAACGGCGGAGGAGTGCAGCAGTACCTGTGACATCGTAAGCGCGCGTCTCATCGAAACTCGCCGCGCGAGCTGAGGTGTCATCTAAATTCTCGTTCCCAGGTGCGAACCGCTCTTACCGGCCAGGGCTTCAACGAGACTGCAAACCGAGATCAAACACCTACCGACTCGTTGAGTCCACCTCCACCACCTCCCCCCGTGGATTGCGTGGTGACCCGCTGGTCAAATTGGTCGCCGTGTAGTGTCACTTGCGGTGTCGGTCGCGTCACAAGTTACCGTACTGTCGAGGTAAGCGTAATTGGCCCCGGGCTATTACGCGCGTTATTATTTGCGAAATTTGTGGTGCACGCAGCTCTCTGAAATAACAAACCAATGCAGCGCAAAAATGTTGAATCAACATCTCAGAAACGTTCCATTACAACATTGCAATTTTGCATCAACGTTACGAAATGTGGATTCAACGTTGAAAAGATATTGCAAAAACGTCTAATGTCCGCTGAATTGTAATGTCTTGTAAACGTTACAATTCACCATTCGGAAAACCTTGTTAAATTATATTGAGTTAACATTGATCGCGTTTAGCAGAATATTTTTTACAACTGCTGGAAGTGCTGAAATGGAATTATTCCACTAAAATAATAATCCAATCTTAGCTCAGAAAATTTCTGACTGTTGCAAAAATATTATATATATATACGTTAAAACAATCTTGAACAAATTATTATTTTTTGACACTCAAATAGATGCTTAAAAATGCAGCAATATAAAGAATTAATATACAAACATTAATCTAGATTCAACGTTAGAAAAGGTATTTATACTTCAACATTCAACATTGCAACGTTTCAGCAACATTGTTTTAACTTTCTGTGCTGTATGGGAAGCTGTTGCGTCAATATTGCCCTAACGAATTGTACATAACACGTTGAGATCTTTCCGCTGTGACAATATCTGACAATGTTTTATTTGCGCGATTAGCGGGAAGCTGCAAACGGTGGCCGTCCCTGCCCGAAGAAGCTGCATCGTCGTTATCGCTGCGAGCTGGCGCCGTGCGAGTGAATCAAGAAACTCTCCATTCGATGTCATTTAAGTCAGGATATATACTCGGTAGATTAAGGATTACTCAAGCAAAGGTCTGTCAAAAAAAGATAGTTTAATTACATCTGCAAAGAGGTAAATCTCTGTAAAGTTTTAATCTTAGAACGTACGAGACCTAAGCCATGTACACGAATGCATAACGTGGATTATTGTGTCCCGTGTGCAATTTGATTATTTCTTATATACCTTTCCGCCCGCGATTTCTTTCTTCCACGCCGAAAAGCGCTAACGGCGACGAAAACAATAATTCGATTTAAAAGATTCGATTGTTGAAAACACTTTGGGTTACCGTGTGATGGAAATGAAATATTTTAACAAACTTTACACGTTACACCTCACAAAGCGATCCACGTTGAACATTCAAATTAATATTAATCGATGCATTTATAGACTACCAATGTACATTACCGTCGGTCCTCTATTGCCAATGTTAGCCTCCCCTTAAATTAATCGCGTTATAAACGCTGTGATGTGTTCGATCTTTCCTACAAAATGCTGGATACGAAATAAACGGATTATCAGAATAAATGATGTTTTATTAATGGTCATTTCGTTTGCGTGCTCTAATTCCCATCGAATTTCAATCGATACTATAAAACGCGGAGTCGATGTAATCGCTTTATATCGGATAAAACATTTGTTTTTCGCAATCTATCCATTCAAATTGATGCATCCGAATTCCATCGTTTGCAAATTGATATCTCGCATCTATCAAACGAGACGGTCGACCATAGTGGTAAATTTCTGATACTACAGAGTGGAAAGAATGAAGAAGTCTTTTTTTTTTGCGTTTGACACAATTTGCTAATGTTATGTCACAAGTATAGGAAACGCGCTTGAAATTAATTCCAAGTTAGATATCCAATTGATTCTCGCCTCTCGCCACTCTCTCGTTTTTCGAACCTCGATCAACGTTCGATTGCTCGAGCGATGCCGCAGGTGTAAAAACGCTTGTTGTTCCCACGCAGAAATTCGTGCACCTGTAATTCACGACGAACCCCGAATTGCAATCAGCTGTCTCTGGAAAACGTCCAAATTCACGCAACTGCGAGATGATTCCCGACACCGCTACGATTTCCCATTATCCTTCGTGGCGCGTACGTTTTCGTCAACGAAATCGCATACACGTGTGCGCCAAGAGAAATATTCCGCCGCTTTCATACGTCCGTAATCTGTGAGAAAATTCGTTCGGATTCGTAGGAGTGTCGCTTCATCTCAAATAATCCCGGGCTCGTCCCCTTACATTTCGTTTGCGGTGCCTGCTACCTTTCCACCCACAACGAAACTCTCCCTACTTAGCACCAACCGGGAGAATCTAGCTTCGCATAGTTACATTAATAATCTCATATAAATAATACACGTAGGTGATATAACGATTAATAAATCACTATACATCTACCAAGAGCGCGAAACCATATTATATCCTTCCTTTAAAGATCGTACACTAGCTCTTTATATAGTATCAACTGTGAAACGATAGACTTTTCATTCATAATGCAACATTATATAATTTCTTCAATTCATCGGACAAATAACTCCTATTAAAAATGGCATTACCTTCGCTCCGAAATCGCCCCGTTAGATCGTATTTTATTTAAAGAAGTATTACTTCGGCGGTTCGATCCGCTTGGTAAATATATAGTGCTCCGATGATGACTATATATCTCTTTTACGGCTGTTTTCTTTTTACCGAGACCACGGGAAGATCCATGAATAAGGGGGACGAAGCGAGCGAGCAATTGGACAGTGCCCCCAGGGCGACTTGCTCCTCAGGAACTTACCTGTGGTGCTGATCACGCGATTCGTATAACATTAACGATAGTAATAATTGTTATTAACGTACATACACGTAATATCTAGGAAGTAGTACATAATATCTAGGATTCTCGTTCCCTTAGGCCACTACTCGACTACGTACTACCGGCGTGTTCTTTGGTCGTGCCACATTGTTCCTGCTCTTCTCGCGAAAATCAATTCGGCGTCTCTCGCCGACTTGACTCGGCGTTAACGAAAGATTTTAGCCGTTCGTTAGTCTAAATACAGGCAGAGAGTTACGCGTTGGATCGTTAAAAGACGACTCGTCAGCAGTCACGAGCTTGCGATTAACGAGCGATTAATTCTATATCGGAATTGTTGCGGAAATGCGGGGGGACTTTAAGGATTTCTCTTTCGCGTCAATCCACCGTGCGTGTCTTACGGCAGAGTTATTATATAATTGATTCTCTCAGCACCTGTGCGTTTGTGGCCGCTCTAAATTATTGTAGAATAAAAAAATAATAAAACTCGTCCGTTGTCAATGATTGATTATCGATTAGAGTTTGTGACTAGAGTTGGATAAGTATATGGAAGAAATAAATCGCCGAAGAAACGATCGCTTAGGAGGCTATCGAGTTTCGTTCTTCAGTAGACCAGCTCTCTGAAGATACGACGTCTATAATATTTGAGGTAAAGCAATATTCGTCTCGTCTCCCTCAACATTTAACTTAATAATATAATAATAGCCGTTTCTTTTTCACTCTCTTGTTACGAGATCTGGCTGACTAGTGTTGACTAGGCTATTTGCCGCCGACTCACACATGCCACTTCCGTTCTGGCAGTAGTAGTAATACAAGTAATTTTCAGTACAATCTACCGTCGATCGTCGCTCAAAGACTTCGCCATGCGAAGATATTCCGCGATTAATCATATATATATATGATATTTCGTCATTCTTGCTAATTTAAAAAATGTGTAAAAAATAGAATGTTATACCAAAAAGAAGGGCGCGAGACACAATTTATATGCAGCTGTTGTCGGAGAAAAGTTTAAACTGAGAAAGATAAGTAAACTTACCAAAATAATCGTGGAAACTCTCTCCTTCGTCTGTATAAAATATAAAAATAAATATTTATAAAATATAAATAACAAATATAACATACGAATAATTTCTAAGTGCAATTTTGAGCCGTTTTCTTATTGAGGGAAGCGTCCGCGGTAAAAGGGTTGGGATGAGGGGAAGAGGATAAAAGATTTTGATGAGAGATTGGGTTCCTTCGAGATTCCCGATCGACGTCGCTCTTATGTTTAATCGGCATGGCGCGTCGCGTCGCGAGAAAGGCATCATTGTGCGTCTGCCGGCGTCAGGACGGTCGTGGCGCGTGCACGCGTGCACAATCGTCGCCGACGTCGTTCTAGCCTCATGGCCGTTGTAAACGAAGCTCGAAGCTGAATTCCGACTGATGCTTCCTGTGTCAGCTGGTCGGCCGCCGCCCGTCGGCGACACTTCCGTTTCCTCAGAGCCAGCCGGTGGACACGTCGTGGCCGGAAATCGGCTCGATGCCGGGAAGACGTTGCAGCTGCGTCGCCGATCCGTTTCGCTTCGCCGTGATCGACGTCGAGCCGCTCGCCACCACGCTCTCCTCGGTTGTCGACGGTGTCAGTGGGACGATACCTTAAAAAAAAAACCGACGACCATATCGTAAATGTCATCGTTTCTCAAACACATAAACGTTTTGAAAATCATTTAAAACTGTAAAAAAAAAATACACGAAATTTGTAGATGCTAAAAGTAAGCCTACAATAAAATTCATGACTATTGCATAGTTATTGATTTGAGGCTTGAATAAAAATTTTTCAAAACAAAAAATGCCCACATATATCATGTTACTCCAATTTGCGGTGTAATCTGGTCACGAGCTCGAGTAATTACCCGAGCCAAGTGGCGCACAGATAGTTAAATGCACGTTATAATTGCGCCATCCTACACGCTTTCGTAAAATAGTATCCCGCGTAGTAATATCGGTTCACCTTGCTGCGCGTTCGCACGCTCGTTGGCGATCTCGACGACGTCGAAGCTGGGCTGCTGGCTCTGCGTGACCTCGTGCCGTCGCGACACCGTTATCGACGACTGCGGCGTTAATTCGGGACCCCGGGTGGGCACGCTGCTGGCGCGTTGCAGCTGCTTCTTCGAGGAGATTCTGGCCGCGAGGACAGTGGCGACCGAGGACGTCGTGCTCGAGTCTGCGGGATTCGTGTTAGTGCTGCTGGTCATCGCGGGCGTGGACAACCTCGACGCGGAGAACTTTTTGCGCTTCCTCCTCAGGGCGGCCAGAGCCGGGCCCAGGCCGTGGGTGAACATGTGATGCGCCTCGTGATGCTGCGCGTGATGAGACTGAGACTGATGGGGATGCTGCGTGCTTTGTACATCGTGTATACCGGCTCCCTCCAAGGAGGACTTGGAGTCCGAGGAGCCCTCGGATCGCGAGCCACCTTCCTCGGACGCCGGCGAGTACACCGAGTCCTCCGAACGCGATCTACCTGGAAAGGGAAAACGATTTTCGTTTGTGTATTGTGGAATTTTATTATCGTTTCGTTGAAATAAATCAGAGATTTACACGAGGATACAAAATACCTGACAATATCATTAGAATGTCTAATCACTGGAAAAGTAGAGAATAAAAAAATCGCGGTGATGCGTTTTAATTTAATAACATGCAATTGTTTATTCTATCCTCTTCTTATTTTACATATTATATTTGAAAATATTCTCGTGACTTTTTAAGTAAAAGGTATAGCTTCAAGTCATATTTTATATCTACACGGGAAGAATTTTCTCTTAAAATTTATCCTGAAAATCGTGTATTGTGGGACGACATGGCATTTCGGAGAATTTTATGAGAGTTTCTTTCAAATTGTACCATACATTTTACTAGTAAAATCTAAGTATACTAACAAAATGTATGGTAAAATTTCAAGAAACTCTTACGAGGTTCTTCAAAATGCCGTGTCGTCCCACGACTACGTGATTTTCAGGGTGAATTTCAAGAGAAAAATCTCTCCGTGTAGGTGAAGAGCGGACTATTAGTGGCTCACTCGCGCGTTTATTTAACAAATTACGAAATATTCTCACCGATAGATATCGAGATCCCCCGTCGGGGGATTAATGTAATTAAAATAGAAACACTAACGTGAGGAAACCTCCGACTTACCGATCAATCTGGAGACCCTTCCGGCCTTTGCAGCCTCGATCAGAGTGCCCCAGCGCTTCTTACGGGAGTTGCTTCTGGTGCCGTGGCTTTGTCGCGGGCCGGTGGCCAGCCCGGGCACGCTATTAGTACTTGTATGATGTGGGCTCTTCTTCGAGGTCGTGCCCGGCCCGAATATGCCGCTCAGAGTCGAGCCGAATAACTCGTGATGGGAGTTCTCATGCTGCGCTTGCTGAAGGGACGCGATGAACTCGGCGACGGGCGGCAGGGTGCCGCTTCCGCCCGGCTGCGGCCCGATGTTGAAACCCTTCATTAACCGCCGCTCTTTCTGGCGGTTTTTCTTGCCACCCGCACCTACGGACAGCTCTTTAAGGCTACCGTCTAGGGGATAAACAGAAAATCGACGAGCAGCCTCAAGCGATCTACTAAAAAAAACTCAAAAGAACTTAAATAAGAAGTGAAAGAAAACGCAAGAGAAATCTCTAGTTCGCGTAACAGTGTACTAAATAGACCGTGTAAGTTTCTATCAGAATTCAATGTACGCAATGTATGTTACATTAATTGTTCGATACGCATAAGAAATACGGGAATAACCGGAAATATTAATTAAACTTCTTTTCTATTTTTTCTTGCATTAATGAATAAGAACAAAAGTAACTTCCATGCTTTCTAAAATCGTCTAAAATTCTCTGTTCGCTGCAAAACTTTTCCCATGCAGTTTGTGTAAAAATAAAAATTTATAAAAAGTACAATAAAAAATGTATTAATATACGTAATTCAGGCTAACGATTATAGCTTCAGCACAGAATTGAGAAAGGGAGAAAAAAAGGGAGAAAATGTAACTTAAATTAATACGATAAAATTGATTTATGCGAAGCTTGTGTGCGTGCCATAGGTAAGACATTATTTTATACATCCTCCCGTTACGATTAATTTGGACCTACACTTGACGCGGTATTTCGAAAATCAGGCGAATTCTTAATTAGAGTAATCAGCCCCCGAAAGTTTGAATGATTAATAGCGCCTTTGTTCAGCTTCGAATTACAAGGGGGTTACCTTTGCTTGGTGACTAATGCGTGTGTTATTGCGGGCAAAATAACGATTGGTATTCCCCAAGCAGAATCGCGGAGTTAAATTCGAAGTTTCGTCTCGCCCGGCGTGATGCGATTAACAATTTGCGGATTACCAGCGATTGCGCCGTCGCTCGTATAATTCTCATCGTTAACTCGGAAACACATTCGTTCGTCGCCGCGACGAATGCACTCTTTTTGTTGAGCGTCGCACTACAACGTTTAATTGCATACCTTACAGACGAGGTATTAATAATTCCATCCCGCTCGCGTATTACGAATATTCGTTTCGCGACATAAACCCTGCGACAATATTGTTTCGACCAAACGGGAATCCGTTCCTTTCAAAGAAAATTGAAAACACTTGCGATCAATATCTGTTGTATACATACACTTAACTGTTACGTTAGCAAACACCGTGCAACTGAACCGATGCTTCTCATGCGGGATATACGCAAAGCAATTTATTCTCTTCTCACTTCTCGTTTCAACTTACCTGTGCCGCTGCTCGCCGCGGTGGAGGTATTCATGCCGGAATTCTTCAGTATCTCGATAAGCTCGCAACGAAATGCACTGATGTCTTGTTTGATCTCGTTGACGTCGTCTTCCGTGACGCCCTCGCCTTCCGCCTTGCGTTGCTCGACGGTGACGTATCGTCTTACCAAATTTCTCATGATACTCTGATACCTGAAGTCCCGCTCGGAAGCCTGCTTGACCTTTCGCTGAGACAAGAATCGAACATCGAAGCCCCTCAGCTTCAAAAGTTTTCGTTACAAAGCACACGTTACGATACGCTTTATGTGGTACGCCCCAGATTTGTCGAGCCATTACATCGCGGATTCGTGTACCGAATTTTCCCGCGGCAAGAACGTCGAGCGTCGCTACAATTTTACTTTCAATCTTGAGTACCGTGCACCTAAAGATTATTAATTATCTCAAAGTGCACGTATAAAATATTATATCAAGTTGATTAAAGACAAGTTTCTTAAACAATAACGCGACACGCAAGATTTCGCCAGATAAGCTTATCTTTTAATCCGTCATAGCTCGACAAGAGTCAGTTTTGTTGGGAATTGCTTATAAACCCTCGAAAGAATCTGCGGATAAAAGTTGATAAGCCTGAAGAACTTTGTATATACTTATACCACGATCTGTAGATACGTGCGATATAGCAGCACGGTTACGACTAATAACGACAAAACTTTTCCTCGGACTTAATAGCCCTTGCAAGTTCTAAAAAAAAGAAAAGAAAGCACAAACTTCCCTCCTGACACTTGAAATTCCGCTCTAAATATTCTTGCCACATAAGAACCTAATTTAAAAATCCGAAAACGAAAAAGAAGAGCCCCGAGGAAATTCGTAAAAGGCATCTCTCGCGATAGAATACATATTTCAATATCCTGCAGCGAATCCCCCGCGACACGCCAGCATTGACATCTTATTCTGCAGCTCGCTTTGCGTTGCCCGAGCGATAAAAATTCAGGTTCGAAAATTGAGGGAGGATCGACTCCCCGGGGAATTTTCCCACAAAGGCTGCGTCGCGGATGCTATTCTAGCCCGGCGAAAATCCGTGAGAGAACTGTCTTTCCTACCCTGATTGTTCGCATATGTTCCTTCTTGGCCGCCCTGCTGTGTCCACAGAGCTTCCGATATACCCATTGCACGACGTACCAAGCGCTCTTCGGGGTCGGTATGATGTTAAACGGCGGCGGTGCGGTACCACCCTCCTCGAAATAGCTGATCCAGAGTTTGCTTCTCGCGAACTTCCACTCGACGTCGGCGCGTTCCTAATTACGAGCAGCGGATCACCCACGCTAATTAGTTTCAGCTAGTTATAGATGCGAAAAGTACGGCGAGGAACGATATGCCGTGTATTTTCTGTCCGATGTCGTTCCAAGTGTCTCAAGGACCCCGCGCTCGTTTCTTTTTAATTACAACAGACTAAATGTCGCCCTCGTCGTATTATTAATCCATTTAACGCGACATTTAGCGCGAGGAAAGTTTAGAGGTTCATCTCCTCCGTTTCTCACATTGTATCTCGTGTACACGATATCTAACTGCCGTAAATAAATTTCGCGGAAGACACTGGCACTTACCGAGATTAGTTGATAGGAATGATTCATCATGGCGATCAGGAGATTCAGGAGGACGACGATGTTGATGACTGAATAAGTGCCGAACATCAGCATGCCCCAAAACCTGGTGAACACCTTGATGCCGTCCAGTTCGAAGCTGTCGAGGTCCACCAAGCCGAAAACCGCCCAGAAGAGCGTTTGTATCGTCTCGAACAGACTGCCCGCCAAATTCATATCGTGTATTAGCCAAAGCAGAATCACCACGCCGAATAATACAAAAATAACTCCTGTATTCAGTTATAAAATATCCGGTAGCTTTATGTTGTGTCATTATGTTGTATAAAATGTATCAATTCAACAGCAACTTATTGACGTCAGTCGAGAAATTAAGAAGTAAAATAAGTGTAGAAACGACCTTACCGGCACTTCTTTATTACATTATAAATTCACAACGTGTCGGCCAGTAATACTGGCCCTCTTCAGGTGATAAATTTACATAAGTACCCGCAAATGTCTGAAGAACAGAAAAAACTATATGCAAGCTATGAGAATATGCGGTCTTGCGTAGGAGTGAAAATTAAAATTAAGTTGCTTTATATTGTATAAATTAAAACATAAAAATAGAAACGTACAAGATTCGTCAAAGTTTAAGATGTAAAATTATGTCAAACTTAAGAGACTTCTCTGTACAACTGACTAGACATGTTGTGCAGAGAAGTCTCTGACGTTTGACATAATTTTAACTCCTGCTACGTAAGGTCGTATATTCTCCTAGCTTACATATAGTTTTTTCTGTTCTTCAGACATTTGCGGGCACTTATGTAAGTTTGTTACCTGAAGAGGGTCAGTATTACTAGCCGAAACGTTGTGAACTTAAAATATAATAAAAAAGTGCCAGCAAGGTCGTTTCTACACTTACTTCATTTCTTAAAATATATCAAGTTTTATTCTTCGTCTCCTTCGCAAGATTTTAATAAAAAATCAAATCCTCCCGATTCTACACAGGGTACGTTCGCGGAGCGCGCTATTAACGCTGAAACTGTTATCTATCTTTCTTTGACGCGTAATGAGCAACAAGGACAGAATGACGCTTTCAGCGCTAAACAGCGCTGATAGCGAGCTCCCTGAACGCACCCATGGTTTTTATAGAAAGCAAATGTTTGTATAAAACGATAGTCATTGCGTACTTAGCGAATCGGCGCCAAACGGTGCACGCGTTGGGGTCAGCATTGGTGGAGCTGACGTTAAGCGAATGCGACATCGCTGATGGACATTGTTTTTTCTCCATGTCGGCGTAATACCAGAGAAGTTGATTGAGACCTACGCGATAAACGGGTTTTCTTTTACATTAAATGTCTGTCTTGCGTGGCATATTTCTTTTTATGACACTTTTGTTTCCATTTACCGCACGAGAAGGCGAAGAGTACCAGCATGTAGAGGAACAAGAACTTCATAATGTCCATGACCATCCTCGACAGGGAAACTTGCAGCGGACCGAGATGAGGATTCACAGAGAATATGTAGACGAGCTTTAGCGAACTGCAACGCAACATTACTCGCTGCTTTTAATCCGGATAGTACTAAAGTGTTAGTAATTTCCTACGTTAACTTTCCCGGCCTGGCTTTTACGTTCTGTCGCGCTCGGCCGCATCGACTCTCCCGGCGTAATCAAAGATTCATTTGCACTTTAAGCGCGATGCACTGGTCATTCGCATTCAAAGCACGTTCTAAACGCGTTTGCGTAAATTTCACAGCTATCGCAACTAGGGATCGTAATTGAGAGATATCGCGGTGCATATCATAATTCGCTTTATTATCTCGCCCAGGCGGGAACGAAAAAGGTTCAGCCTGCGACGCTTTCAAGGGTAGAGATTAATCGTGCTCCTAGCTCGCCGCGATCGCATCCTATCCCGAGTTTCGTATACGGCGATAGGATGCGCGATCGAACGCTCGCAATTTATTACCTGAAGATGTTGGCGGCGGAGAAGAGGCCCTCGGAGATGAGCATCGGGTCCCAAGTGTCCCACTCCTCACGCGGCAGCATCACCGATCCCGGCGCCTCGTTCTCCTTTTGCACCCTGTAGTAAACTACGACCCTGAGCGCCACCGTGGCTACGTACAGCGAGTTCGTTACGAAGTCGATCACGTTCCACATATCGTTCACGTACTCCTCCAGGCCCACGTCCCACAATTGTTTCACCTCCGACCAGATCAGCCCCGACACCCAGGCCAATATAAACCTGCGGTTTCGGTCAGCCGGGTTTTGAGCTTGTCTTCGAACGACAGGAACACGGCACGCCGGATCGCGCGCGCCTGTTCGCACGATTTATTCATCGAGGGATTCGCGCGAGTCGACGGACGTCGCCAGAAATTTATCCGAGAGAAATTAGCATCCTTTCAACGTTTCGATACCTTTCGCTCTTTTTATTCCTTTTTTCCCCGATCTTTTCCTTTCACCTCTTCCACCCTGTTACAATCGCGCCTCTCTGGTTATTGATTTAGCTCCGCGCGAAGGCAGAATCCCAGTGACATCTTATTAATAACATGCCAAATTGAACGCGAAATCAGTCTGACGCGCTGAGGTAAACATAAATTTGCGATATGACAGGTCTTGATCACCTCATTTCGATCTCGTCATCCTAAAGGGGGGAAAAAAACGCTTCGAGATTGTACGCGCGTCTCTGGGGTTTATCTCGTTTACCACCGACTTACTGTGTGTGTGTGTAATGCTTCTACCTTCTATATTACCGTCTTCCGCACGAACGGAGAGTGCCGTAAGCCGGTAGATATTACATGGATTTTACCCAGCTTTTCCCGCTCTTTCTTCCCTCCTTTCTTATTTTCGTCTTCCCTTTCTTTCACTTCTACAATTTTCTATCAAAATTGTACTCCTCGTGTGGAATCCCCATTGCCCGTCGGCAGAAGTACGCGTGTCGGGTTTACGAATAATAATACGAAGCTGGAGGAAGCCTTACCATTCGACGATCGTTGGCGCGGCACCTCTTTTCGTCGGCTCATGCTCCGGTTCGTGCTCCACGACATCGTGCCCCATCCAATTACCGATCACGCTCTCTATCCGCTGACTAGCCAGAATTAACATGACTGCGCAGGCAAAATTATGTGCATTCATCATCGTTAAAAATTCAGAACAGTCGTAATTTCAACGTGGGGTCGTAACAGTAATAACAGATCGCGCGACTCAGTCGAGATGGAATTCATTTCAGCGGAGATTTAATTCGCGATTTAACATCCCCGGCGTTTCACGTTAAAAGTTTGAGAGCCGCGATAAAGGACGGTTCCTCGCGGAAGGTCTTTTCGACAGAAAACGACTGACTGCATCATCCAAAATTGGTTAGAGCCTCCAATAAAATTTCCCTTAATGGTGTAACGGTGTAAGCGCGTAATTGGACCGGCGCTGGATAGTGGCAGCGAAGCCAAAGATGTATCGCTCGCGGTCGGACGAGCAATTAATCTCGGGACAGTAATGCTTCTTAGCCGCCTGAATTCCGCATATTGGTGCACGACTATTATTGGTACCGGCACCGTAAGGTATTTGTAAATTGTTTGACGTTTGCCACGTAGATGTTTGATCTGCCAACGTGCCGGGAAGCTAAATACGCCGTAGGAAACGCTGTTTGAGGTGCGTGTCTCTCCGAATACTTCCGCGGAATGAGTCACATTGGATATCGCAAACGGGTGAAATTATCGAGTCGTTGCACATAAAGCGCCGTGTACCGAAAAACTTTAGTTTATAAAATCAGTGTCTTGAATTTTTTCCCTTATTTTTGGTTCTTTCTCCGATGATGAATATTACGGTAAAACGATTCTCTTATAAAAATATGCTTTTGTGAAAATTCTGTAAAAAGTTTACGTTTCAAGTCATAATAAATTTAAAAAGTTAAAAATTATATAACTTTCACAACACATTCTACGATTTAAAACTCGTAGGTACAAAAACAATTTAAAATACGAATTTCGCGCACAGAGCAAAAAAGTCGTGTGAAGAAATTATGGACGTTGATGCGAAGTTTAATATTCGAGGTGTGAAAAACATGTTGCCGACTTTTACGATTTTTCATCTCTAGATTCTCTGCCTTCCATTTTTAACACAAATGAGATTATAAAAATCTTATTCATTCTGAGAAACGCGAACAATATTATTTTAATCATACGTTCATTTTGTTACCTCGAATACTACTTGGAAATTTGTTGATACAAAACCAATATTTTATGTGTAACGACCTAATAACATACGTTCGCTTGTATGCAAAGCAGATGAAAATGCATTCAATCGAATAAAGGCTCTTATTCTCCTTTAACAAATAGAACATTTAACTGCTTACAAAAGCAAGATTAGCGTTTCGTTAGTTTCGTGAAAATTTTTCCCGCGGAATTATTTAATCAGTGAGATAACACGGTGGAGCAAAAGCTTAATTGTCTGACAAATTAATAAAGTGAGAATATAAAGTAACAGAAGGTACACAAGTACCGAAACTTTGCGAGAAAATATTTTAGAGACAATAATTACGATAAGGTGTGACGATTGAAACGACGATTACGTGAAACGAAGGTGTATCGATTTCGAAAGCGAACACTACTTCGTACAGTCGTAATTGGCGGCCGGAAAGAGAGATGTTTATAAGAATGGGTTGCGAGTATCAAGCTGATTCAGCGGTGCCACCGATATTTCCGGAATGCACCGGATATTTGGGTCACGCTGATCAAGTGCGGCGAACAATCTAGGAAATGGCAGGTTACGGCCGGGTGTCGTGCCAAGTGGTTGGATTTAAAGTGTGACATGAAATCGCTCTGTGTGTGAAACGACTGGCCTGTTATCGAAATGTTGCATATGTTTCGCACGCGTTCGCGCAAAGATTCATTTATCCTGGCTTCGTTTTATACAACCGGACAGGAGGGTACTTTATACGCGATTTAAAGGTCGCAAAATTAGATTTTATCTAGGCGAACTTACGTCGCAACATAATTATTTTCTAAGGGTTGAAGGCATACTCACATAGAAAAGTGAAATACGACGCGGAATGACAGATGAACTTGATAAATGGTTTCCTCATAGTTTGGCCGACCATACTGTGAGGTGCGATGATATACGCTACACTAAAGACCGGGAAAAGGACGCCGATCCTGATGATCTCCAGCGCCTGGAGGAACATGTTCTTCCTTCGGAACCCTGGCAGACCCTCGTACCAAATCGATGCCAGTAGCTGCTGCACGTTAGGATGCGCCACGAACTGGAAATATCCAGGTAACGCGATATTGACCGATAGTTTCCGGCCATGCGACTGAGAGAAGGTGGCAGTCTCACACGCAATCAGAATTTGAACTGCAATTAGCACCTTCCAACTGTCATCTCTAATTACAACATGCTAACGAACGTCTCTATTCCTCCCTTTAATCAAAGCTCGATTGTCCCTGCGTCAGTAATGCCCCCCAAAATTTGCGTCAACGTTGTAATAATTAGCGATCAATTTGTGATATCATTATCAGTTACTTCACGTGTGTTTGAAAGGGTAAAAAGTTTTGCGAGAAATGTCAATTTACGAAAGCAACGACCATCTCAATTTGTTTGTAAAAATAAAACAACCGTACTCGCAAGTGCTCTGGGGGGAAAAAAAGAGACAGTTAGCAACCAATTTTGGGGCCCACAATTAGTAATCGAATTATTTGAATCGTTCGTAACTCCACTCTGGGAAAAATTTTGACCGTTTCTTGTTGTAGTTAAGCAACTTAACATTTCGGTTAGTGCCTCTTAAGTGAAAATTATCGTTGCGTTACTGAATATCGACAGAACTAATTGAGAGAATTGATTGGTATTACTGAAAAATCTTGGACAAAGATAGAATAGCTAATTGCGATTTTTAGTTACGCGGGGTAAAATTCGTAAAAGATTACGAACAATCCAAATAATTCGATTACTAATTGTGGGCCCCAAAATGGATTGCTGTCTTTCTTTTCCCAGAGTGTGGCTTTCATTATCGAGGACGGCAAAAATCTATTTCTAAGCAATCGGAATAACGAAGAAAATTGTGGAGTTTATTACTTCTCCGCTTGCACTCCGTACCTTCTTTTGTCTCAGCTTAACGGCCAATTTTAAGCGGTTAAGGTGCATCCGCTCGCCGTGCTCGAAAGCTGGTCCCGTAGGGTCGTGATTCAGCAGGACTTCGAGCTCGTAGGAACTTCTGGTGTGGTCCAGCAGTGCGGTCGCGAAATCTTGGCACTGTCTTCGGAGCTCCTGAAATCACGAAGGATTTCGTGCCTATCGCAACGTAAAGCAATTGCGAAAACGCGCGTTTCCCCCGAAGCATCCAATTTTCCGGGGACGCTGAAAATAATTCCCCTAATTTTGCCCGGAGATCTCGGTCGCGATTTCACCGATATTCCTGACGGAAATTCGGCGGATTCTTCGCGTTCGTCGCGTCGCGTGTCGGGAATTGCGAGCCGGGAAAGAATTCGCGCGCTCGACAAAGCCAGCGGCTGATCGAACTTCCAGGCTCTCTCTGCAAGGTCGACAAGCGCTCGAGATCCTATCCTAATCGTTCGCCAATCTTGCCCCGAGTCCAATTGAATTCTCGTCACGTATTCACGCGGATATAACAGTTTCTGTGATGCGTCCCGCATTGTTAGTCGACACAAACTGAGAATCGCCGCAGGAAGTTATATCCCACTTCATAAGAAGGCAAAAGGTGATGAGAACATCGTTCGACTATCGTCTATTTTCGTTATCGATCGCTAGGCAAATGCGGCACGTCACCAGCCGGGCTGAGAAAAATTGTTCCTTTGATCGAGCGACTCGGGTTTTCTCACGTCGTTATTTTTCACACCTTAATATGTGTGTGATATAAAAGAAGCCAGAGCACTACGAAGCGAACAACTGACAAGATTGTAAGGTTACACATCTCCTATCTGGAGAAGACCATCGTTATTCCAAATTGTTCGCAACATCAAGCTATAGTTCTCTCAACGATGTCGTAAACTGGAGTTATCTTGCGGTACACGAAGATACGCAATGTGATGTTTACTGTACCTCTCAATATTTTCCTACGACACGAGAAATATGTCCCTCGTCGACTGTTACATAAAGTCCAATATATTCAAACGACAAGTACGTCTCAAGTGAATAAGAGTTTATAAGTAAAATTAACTTCGGAAAGTAAAGGACAAATAAGGACAAAGGGAGAATGGAAGAGAAATGGAGGAGTATTCCTGGCAATTTATCAAGCTTTATATTTGCTTTACTCTCGAAATCGCCTTTATCGAGCCGCTCCTCAAGATCGACACTTGAGAGATGGGGAACGATACAACAGCAAAATGGGAGCAAAAAGAGCGGAGTTTTCCAAAGAAAAAGTGGGTGAATGAGGAACAGGGGGTCAAAGAAACGGGGCTGATGACGCCCTCGAAAGGCGGAAGGAGAAGGGCCGAAGAGGAAACCGGAATGTTGACGAGGCTAAAAGGGAGAACAAAGGGCGTGGCGGAACAACTTATAAAGCAACTCGATAGCGCCGTTTGCTTGGTGTATCGCTACTGCGAGGTGCGATTTATACGTGTATAAATCAAAAAGTTGCTCGAGTGTGGTGAGCACTTAAACTTTCGCCGCTTAAGCACCGAGAAGAGGCGATAAAGAGGGAAAGAGAGAAGCTACGTTAGAGCCCGAGGAACCGGGCTCCAAGTGAGCTCGCGAGTCGGAAGGGACGGAAAGGAAAACGCGGACATATATTTGCACGACCGCTAAATTAAGGGAAACACGTGCTAACTGCCGTACCTCGCTAACCGAGATAAATTTGTTTCGTGAAATCGGGATACCGCTGCGCAAAGAAAGAAACATCGCCCGAGAGCAATCTCGCGTGTCTTAAGTTCGCAGCTTGGAAAGCGAGCCCCACGCACACGTTTAAAGAAATTTTCATCGTTTCATCCATACATACGTGATATACGGAAAGTTGCGATGCGGCATTTTAGTGCGGTAGACGTACCTTCGACTTCGTCCTCTGCTTTCGCAGAATAATCAGTACGAGAGGCACGCGTTGTTTCTTGTGCAGTTGCAAAGATTACAAATGATAGGCGAAATATACGCTTTCCAAAAATATTAATCGACGGCGAATTTGTTAGAATAATAACCGTTAGATTGTCGCGTATAAATTTTATATGATCTTTAAATAATCTCTAAAAAAATAATATGTAATTGTTGGAATATCTCCCTCGCATTTTTAAGAATGAGAAATTATTTCCAAATGGAAGATTTATACTGCGAGTTGTTTCTATAACGTTACATTTCACTTTAAGACGTAGCTGATTAAGATCGGATAATGTCACACAAATTTCGCATTTTTTTTTCCACGTCTTCTTAAATTCACTAATAAAAAATTGCAAATATTTTACAGCGTTTTGCTGCAGCATGTTATTGTAAATCAACCGCGTCATTCAATATTCATAAAACGTTGCACAGGTAAAATTGAAATCTTTGCCATCTGACATTCCATATGCAACCGGACAAAATTATGTCGTTCACGAATATTCATGAGTGATAGGGAACATAAAATTTCTTGCCTGATACTCGCACTTGAATTCGTGCTCCAAGAACGAGAGTCGTCGAAGTTCCCAGGAGAGCTCAAAGGCAGTCAGGATGGGATCCTTAGACGACAGTGCTATCAAGGACGGCGACGCCAACGCCCGGTAGGCGTTTATTCGGCTCCTCGAATGCCTCAGGGAATCTTCCATCCTCGATGTCACGCATTCGTCGCATCTGAAATAAATAACAAATGGCAACAACAAGCCGAAATAAGACCAGTTTGATAACCGGCTTGGCGTCGCCGTTTCTCAAATATTTTCCAGCGCGGCTGCGTGTCTCACGATGCTACATCATCTTTTACGCCAACCGAGATCTCTTCTACCAACATTTCGACTATTATGCGCGCGAGCGACGGGAAATCTAGTTTCGAATCGAGGAAGAACTTGGTCGCTACTTCTTTTCATATCCTGAGTTTACGAACGAAACAAATAGCTTTAAACGTACAAAACGAGGCGGCTTTAAATAATATTTTTAGCGTAAATTTCGTGCGGAAGAACGCTATTTTTCCAACAAAAGCTACGCGCTATGGGGTGATGAATGTAAGTACTCTGCACTCGGTACAGCTTTTGTCCGAAAAATGGCACCTCTTCACGCGAAACTCCCACGAAAAATATTGTTGTTCAAAACCTGCCCCATGTTTAAATCTATTCCATCTCTCTTTCTCTCTCTCTCTCTCTCTCCCTCTCTCTCTCTGATACATGGATGTTTTAGCAGAGTAAACAATATCATTTTCACATCGTACATTATGTAATATAAAGTTCTTCTCTCGCATATGGTTAGTTATTATATCAATCCGGACAACTTTCTGCAATTCCAATGCGGGACGCGAGACAAAGAGTTACGATTCTCTTAATGTAATGTGATTATCACAAATTAAATTTTCCCCTAGAGCGGCGACGGTGGTAACACGGCGCTCATGCTTAGCCTAATTAAATTAGCTTTTGTCGCGTCCGCACAAAGGGATAAGACGATAAACCGGCCGAGGGAATTAATTAGCCCCAAAAAGAGCGCTCTCAGTTAGGGATCAACGACCGGACACTTCTAAAGCACTTGTACGTGAAGATTAATTAATCGTATCATTAAAAAAAAATTAACGTCTGTATGAAAAATATTTTGTTAAATAAATAAATAATTAAAATATCGCAGGAAAGTCGCGTTAAAACAAGAATATCGATTTTTTCGCGATATAAATCACACGGCGATGCACGAGAACTCTATTAAAATGTTCAAAATGTTCGACAAGTAATCTGCGTAAAATGTGCACGATGTACAGCGTGAATTATAAACTTACAGCAAAGGCAAGAGAGAGTAACTTAACGTGAATTATTTTCTTCGGACGCTGAGCCCCCTCAATTTTATTTCATAATCGTCCAAGTGTCTAACGAATTTCGTGGCCTTATTTCATAATCGTCCAAGTGTTTAATGAATTCCGAGGTCTTACCCACAGCGAACGTCGTGTGGCATCGGCAGAGTGGATCCACGATCCAGGAGAATCTTTATGATTTCGTAGTTGTCCCTGTGAGCCGACAGGATCAACGGCGTGATGTCGGGCGTGAACGTGGCTGTATCGGGAGGCAGAGCCTCCCAGCTCTAAAATATTAAACCGCAGGTCATTACTTTCGTAAAATTCTCGAAAAACAGCCTCTCTCTCTCCTACGCGCGCACGAGCAATGTTTTTTTTTCTTTTGTTCAACCCGTTCGATCTAAAATTATTATTTCACAAATCGCTCTCCGCAGTTATCACTCATCGTCGCGTACAATTGACATTTGATCTCAATTGTAGCGAGCCCTTTAAACGAGCTTTCGATGGGCGAAATGATGTCAAATGCCAATGATAACTCGACGATAAAGTGGAGTAATAAGTCGACTAAATAAAGCATACTTTTTTTCAACACAAGCAATCGACAAATAATCTCTCTTGGCGCAGACTCGCGCGCTGCCATTGTACCAGCGTGATCGGCTTAATCAGTCATCGTCACGGGTGGTAGCTCCTTTCTTCACGGGAAACTAATTCTCCCCATATAATGAATTCGTTGGGCATTTTCGGACCCCGCGCGCGCGCGCGGATATCATTCCATTAAAGTTCTGCGTAAGCTGATTTCTTACCAAAGCCGATTAGAGCTCTGTTCAAAATTTCGTATTCTTCTACTTTTTCCTATTGCAACCTCGTTCCCTCGCTCTTCTGGGTACTCGGTTTCCCTCGTTGCCCTCGCGAACGACTTTATACTTTGACGGAATCGTCTTCGTGGAGAGAGAGAGATCATTTGACGGCGGAGCAGAGTACAACCAAAAAAAAAAAAAATCGCTTGCGGAGCGACCGACACGGCGAGTAATCGATTTACGGACTTCAATCAACTTTTATCTATATATTTCACTTTCGCGGGTAACGCTTGTGCCAGATTTTCTACTACAGATTACAGATACAGCACGATGCGACGTAAAGCTCGATTATAAAACTAGAGTATGGGTATATTATTCCGCGCATATCCCATGCAAAAGTTGTGAAATTATTATTCAGCTAGAAAACACGACGTCTGCGACGTTGACAAATTAAAAGCATCGTTGGCTTAATTAAAAGAATAAACGAGCAGTATAATTTAAACGTAGTGAAAAATAATTTTTATATTTTTTTAGATCCCCAATGAAACTGACTAAATTATAATTCTGGCTAATGAATTATATTATATATAATTTTTGTATTCTCCCTCTCTCTCTCTCTCTCTCTCTCTCTCTCTCTCTCTCTCTCTCTCTCTCTCGCTCTTATTTAGATGTAAAGGAAGGGTACGTGTATACAGACACTTACATGTGGCTCGCCATTTCTGTGAAGGGTCTCCTCGTGCTCTAGTAGGACCTCCACTGCCTCGACGAATTCCTCGGAGATAGCGTGGAGCAGTGCATCCTTGGTATCGACCTTGTGCTCTATTAAAAGCTCCACCATCTCTAGATTTTCATTATCGATCGCCATGAGGAGGGCCGATCGTCCGAGAGGATCCACGCAGTTAATGTTAATGTCGGCCTCGTGGGCTTTTTGGAGCATTCTGCAGTGACAGGAGGGTATTCGGGAGATTGATGAATTGCCGTTTAGGATTCGTAGGTGCAAATACTCGTAAACAGAAAATCCCAAAACTACCGGATATCCTTTCAGCCGCTACGGAGAATTATTTCTCTGAGCAACGATATCAAACGGAGCGTCTGTTTCAAAGCTTTTCAATTTTTAGCGTTATTCAACATTAACGTTACTTTGCCAAACGCTTCGAATTAAAATCGCATTAAATTCCATTTGAAATTGTCTATAAAATACGATTTTGCTTTCCTGATATTCGATTTATTATACCGAGACTCTGGGGCCGGTATTGATAGTTGGATCTTATATTATTCAATTTACCGAGAGCTGCTGTATGGAACATTTTATTGGCTACGGGGTATCTAAAGATGATCTTAAGACAGTCTTGAATATAAGATCTGGCTATGAATACCGGCCTAGGTTTTCAATTACTCAAGAGTTCAAGTAGGGCTTTACCTGAAGTCAGTCAATATCTGTAATAGAGATATCCGATAGTTTCAAGACGCCACGTATAATATAAAAAATGTACTCGATGGTACAAATATTTGTTGGAAATTAGTAGCCGTCTTTTACAAGTGGATTTAACTGTTTCCCCGGTAAAACTGTAACTCGCACAGATAACGATGTCAAATCTGACGTTGTAACAGAGGAATTTCGAGAGTGCGAAGTTAATCATAGATAGCGATCAGTTTCAATTACGCTAACATGAGAAGCATAGCGGAGGGAATTCCTGAAAGTTTCGAAATCGTGCGAGCAAGCTTTATAAGATAATTAGAAGATCATGTGTCCCGCACACACGATCGGTGGAAGCTCATACATTTGTGAAATATGAAATGGCATACAGTGATAAATTATTCCTCGCAATAACATCATGAATTGAGCAATAAGAAAAATATTGCTGTCTCAGTTCAATTCTCTTACTAAAAAAAAACAATCTTCGAAATGATAACGAGATTACGTAATGACAAATGTAAGATATATTTTTGCAGAGCATGCACGCTCAAATTAAATTAGCGCCGTAAACTGCACTGTAGACTTGTCCCAGAAAGTTTAAGTGAAATAAAATTTCCGCGTAACGTTGCGACGCAGTTAGCTTCCATGAAAAAGTTTATTGCTATTAACTCGTATTCTTTTTTTGCACGAAAGAAGTTTCCACCCTGGATACTTGCTCGCACGATGAAGTCCATGTTCACGTATGTGAAGTTAGTTCGCCAGCTACGAGAAAATTAGATAAAAATAGTCTTAATCGATAGATTTTCGTTTGCACTTTTCCCATACAATTGGACTATCCGTTTTGCACGTCCTTAATACTAAAGTTGTAAGCAAATAAAGTCTCAAGCGTACGATCAATCCAGCTAAGCAAACAAGGATTCGAAAAGTATGTGAACGTGCAAATAATATCTGTCTATTAATATAAGTGGTTTTAATTTTATTCCAGACTCAGCTGCTGCAACCGACTGCTCGTCAATATTTGTTTGCTCGTAACTTTATCACTGAGGATGCGCAAACGAAAAATCAAATTATATAGAAACGTGCAAAGGAAAATTGGTCGATTAAGATCGTTTTTAATTTTCTCGTAATTGAGTCATTGATTGAGGCCACCCAAAATTGATTTGCCTATAAACTTTTAATGTAGGGCAGGGCGAACGAAAATTCCAACGGGACTCACAGGCAACTGTTTGCGAGAAGAAGATTGCTCATTTGATTTGATTTCACAATATTGCTAACTTCACACAGAGGTTTCCATGTGCGACACAAATGTCTATCTTTACCAGCGCGTGGATGCGCGTGCGCACGTGCTACGTATTTCTTATATGTAATAGCTTTATGAGGATAACGCACAATAATCGCACTCCTTTTAAGGGGATG